TACACGACATCAAAAGCCATTTTTTGAGGTTATTGACCGATGCCAAAAGATTGGCGCTATGCATTTTCAAAATGTACAGCTTATGTACTTCGCAACACCAGTTATTAAATTCTGTTTGTTTATTTTTACTAACTGTGGGAAAATATGTCATACCATTCCCTCATTAGGGTATCATCCCACACATCTGCCGATCGATTTTAATACATAAAGGCAGAGTGAGGTATTGATCCAGGACGTTGGGCTATTTGAAATCGGAGGAGAGTATCATCAGGTTTACGATGCATCTCATTGAAAAATGTCTTTTTGCTCTAACACTTATAGTTATCTATTGCACATGTGTTATCGCGTTCTGTCAAAGCCTCGAATATTTGGACGATGCTGAAACATACGCCGAAATAGATATGAAGCGTGAATCACTCATTGAATACACTGGTAATCAGGAATACTTGTATGTTTTTTGGTGGTCTGTCTCAACAAAGTTCATGATTCGATACGACGTTACAAAATTTCATTTTAAAGCTTACGATCCCCAAAACGGTCGCGTATTTCGCGAATGTACACGTATGGGAGAGCGTTCAAACGCAGTATGTTGCGTATTTAACCGCTACACATCCTACTGGAGAAACTGGGCCAGATGCTATCTTGTTTTTTATTCGTTCAACTGGGACGGAAGATATACACATGTAACCTACCAAACATATGGGGGAGAGTGGGATTGGGCAACGTTGTTCCAATTTTGGTACCTGCAAGGTAATGTCTGGTACAGATACTTCTTTTGCTATGGATCCAATTTTCGCAGACGTACTTGCAGTGAAATCGCTCGGTCAGGCCACCGTTCAGAACCTGAGAAATTGGGAGAATTGCTCTCCACTGAGGAATTTTACGAAATACGATACTCTGGATTCAGAAATACTATTCTTTTCGCGCCAGGTAGTAAAACAATAAAGTTGACTTTGCGCACCTACTCAAGGCGATTTGAGATTCCACAAGTAGTTGTTTTTGATGAGGTCCCTGGTCGGTCTAGGTATTATCCGCGTTTACAACCGTCGTATCTGATTGCTAACGGTTTGAGGCTCCCTAAATCATTCCACGATGTAATACAGTGCGATAAAGAATATACTCAAGGAATAAGTGAAACGCAGTTCGATGTTCACATAACCCGCTCCACAAAAGCTATACTAGTTGTGATGGACAATCATGAAGGCCAAGCAGCTCACTCAGATATCGCTGGTATCGTAACCAGATGGTCCGAGGGAAGGCCAGGAAGTACGCTGAAACATCATACTGGCGATTACCCCATACGTCTTATACGAGTACTGACCACACATCCAGCTATATTTCGTGTTCATGACAACTTTATCTATAAGTATGGTCGCAAAACTGAGAACTACGAAGGCAAACTGAAATGTTTTGTTACTCGCGGAGATGGCAAGTTCAAAGAGGAGCCCAGAATGCAACCATCCGATTTGCGTCAAGCTCTTCGTATTATGGATCTTCAAGTAACCGATAGTGGAAGGTACAAATGCACTTTAGCTGGAACTGATAGATTCAGTGAGATATATGTAATCGTTCTCCCAAGACCGGAGGATGTAAAAATAGTGTTTAGTAGCCAGGCCTTAAACGCCAGTGATCAGCACGTATCAGATATTCAACGTCGGGACGAATTGAATCGACCGTTTTTACGATTTGATGAGAAACTTATACTCAACTGTATCTATTATTTATCCAAAGGGCTCGATAACTTTAGAGGAGTGCATTTTTCGAGCAAAATTTTGAAGCCCGCTCAGAAAAATGATTGGCGTTTGGTTCGGAATGAAACAGCCAATCAGCCGCACGACATGTTCTTCTGGATCCAGTCGTACGAATTAACTAAACTATATAGCAAAGGAATAGCTGTTGAACACACGGCAAATTGTGATCATTCTTATAAACCAATTCAACATATTGTCCGACACGAAGGCAAACTAGCAAAGACAGACACTGATATTCGCATTGTACAGAACTTTGTAGCGTCTCTGTTTAAACCACCAGTAATATTTAATTGGGGTATAAATACGAATCAAACCCATGTTACCAGTTCGTTACAAAATAACGACTGTACATCTGATGGCATTGAATCATTTACCTTGAAACCCAATCAACGTGTACCGGAGGGCGAGTTCAACGGTTCATTTCACAGTATGCACTATCGAAGTGGAGGATGGACTACAGTTTGGTCGATAGTGCATTTTGAACAAAAATTGTATGTGGAAAACTGCTCGGTCAATGAAACCGTATTGAAACCGCAACAAAATAAACGGCTGTTCCAAAGACCAGATGTGAAAGAGCATTATGGTCCATTTGTTTTGACAGAGGTCAATTTTCAATGTGTGGTTTTGCCAAATGTTATTGGTATTGTACTTATTGCGTTTAACACGGAAGGAGCTAATGTAAATGTTGGGGAAGTGGAAAATGCTTATGCGGAATCATTAATTAACGTGATCAAAGAAAGACTGAAAAGTCAAAGCTCGAAGGTATCAGTCAAGCCCAGTGGGAACAGTGTGACCAGACATCGATTAGTTCGAGTGAGAACTGGGTGGGCTGCGACAGTGACCAGAGGCCAACAGATAGTTATGATCTGGGATACAAGACATGTTTCGAACGGCACACCGTATTGTGAGTATCGCGTAAACGAATCGATCGCGTGGTCATCGGAATTGCCATCAGAATTTAAGCTGGAAATCATTAGTAATACTCCCGGCTATAGGCTCTATAAAACAAACAGTAATCTGACCGATTCCGGACAATACAGATGTTTTGGACCGGATAAGAAAACTTCACTGGGTCCCGTTCGCACGGTGGCGGTTGTTCCGGCTTCGGAAGATGTAAAGACC